AGAATCCAAATCTGATATCCAAATGACTTTTATTAAAAGCTCTGAATGTGGTGCTATCTGAGGTGACATGTTGATTAAATAAATACACAGGGGGCATTTGGCAATAAACCTCTTCTATCGTGGCTTTTTAAAATATTATAGTGCAGATTTTAATTCCTTTTATCATCAATTTAATTATACTCTCAGGCCTGTATGGCAATGTCAGGTGCCCCCTTTGCTCCTGATTAATTCTGCCCTGCATGGATTGGGCTGTTGGGATAGTTTATTAAAGCCCTCTGTACCTGTACCACTGTCCCTGTACTACTGTCCCCTGAAGCTATTAGCATTCTGTGGACTTCTCTCCTGACCAGGAGACTGCAGAAGTCTTAACACATTTTCTCCATAAGGATGGCTTGGTGATTTTTCTTTTGCCTTTTTTTCAAGAATTCAACACAAGGGCTGGCAAGATGTCACTTGTCACCAACCTTGATGACCTGAGTTTGATTCTTAGGACCCACATGGTGGAAGGAAAGTACGAACTCCTGCAAATTGCCCTCTGACCTTCACATGTGTGCTGTGGTACATGCCTACCACCTCCCCACCTCCCAAATAAGTAAATAAAATCAAAACATTTAAAAGAACTCATAAATGAACCCACTCCACATGAAGCGATGAGAGTTGGAAGCCCAGGGAGTCAGTCAGAGAGGCCATCTTTCAGGAGTGGAAATCAATTTGGGAGGATTGGAAACCACAAATGAAATGGATCAACTCGATTGTGATTCAAGCTGTCAAAATCATACCGCAAGGTGGTGGGACTGCGATAGAGCGGCTCCTCTAATTGAAGTCCTTCTGAAAGAGCTCAGAAGGAGAGCTTTCAGATCAGAGGTAAAGGGGTTGGCAAAGGAGCTGGGAGTTAAGACGCAGATGCGGGGCAGGATCTGAACGGAGGGAGCAGGTGCATGGGCGTGTACATACGTATTTGAGAGAGCAATAAAACCAGACAGAGAAGCAGGACCGGCTCATTGTCAGGCAAACAGGGGAGCTGCAACTGAGCCCATCAAAGATTATTATATAGATGATCTGTTTATGGCGTCTGTTCAGTGGATAACTGAGGTTTGTGGGTTTGGGGGGGGAGTTGGGCAGGGAGATCTGCACTGGGAGCTGAATAACCTCTGTGCCAATGGCTGGGAGGGGAATGAAGCTAAGGAATAATTCAGAAACACAATGATCAGATTGAAACACCAATTTAGCAAGAGGAATGAAGAAGATGCCAGAAATATCTGCACTTGTTACCCCAGGGATGAGGATGCAATGATGTCATGAGCAAACACAGGGAGCCCTGTAGGAAGGAAGGGAGAGCTGAGAATGAGGTTGCTGGGGGATACCTGGGGTCTGTGGGCCTGGGGTTCCTGGAGCTGTCCAGCAGAGCCCTGCTGGTGCAGCTCTAATTTCAAAGGGGTGCAGGCTGCTCTGTGCCTGGAAAGATGGTTCCCAAGGGGAGTGCTTTAAAGTGGAAAGAGCAGAAGGGTCGCTGCATTGTCTATGGAGCCAAAACAGGACTGGTCACCTTTGCTGGGAAAAAGCAGGAGCTGGGGGGCCAGTTTTCAGTCAGGGAGTCCGGAGCAGTAGCCACAAAAGCTTGACATTCCAGTCATGGCTCTAAGCCTAGGAGGAACATGGAGTCTAATTGGGTAGATTCTGGCCTTCTAGAACTCTACAGTTCTTGTCCTTTCCTGACCCATTCATCCAGGAAAGAAACCCATGGCAGGATGCTCGACTTTGGAGTCAGCTTAAGGTTTACCCTGGAGATTTTGTTGTTGTGTCTTAAGACAGGGTCTTCCTCTGTACCCAGACTGGCCTCAAACGTGCTTCTTCTGTCTCAGCCTTCCTGGTGCTGAAATGACACCCTGTTTCCCTCTGGAGTTCTTTGGGAACTTCTGGTGGAGTCTTCCCATAGACAGACTGCCATTAGGTTTGCACTTCTCAGACTTGGGCAATCTAAGGTTCCACATTAGTGCCTAGGAGTATTTTGGTAGAAACTTTCAGACAAGTTTTGACTGTCTTCTTTTCCTAACGTTCTCCCTGCCCTTCTGTTCTTTCTATTTTCACCCTTTCCTTTAAGACTTTGTTCATTATGGCATCTTTCCCCAAACATTTGACTTACTGCCTTTCGAGAGCACATTATTTCTAAGGCTAATTGAAGACTCTGATGTCTGGTTAGTATTGAACAGCTCCTGTCTCAGACTCAGGTCCTTCAGCAGCCTCGTAGCCATTCCCTAGTGTATCAGACAACACGAAACTCTGGGAAAAACCTGTGCCCCATATTAGCCCTGGTGGGGGAAGAGTCTGCTAACGACATCTGTTTCGTGTAAGAGGGAGGGGCACGGCAGCACCAAAGTAGACGCCAGAAACCAGTTCTGCTATTTATGAATGACTCGTCTCTGTTTTTCCACCTGGAAAGGGGCTGATAAAGACGTTGGCTTTGAAAATTTGTTGTGAGCACTAAACTAGCTCAAGTGCAATGCTGGGAACAGTGCTTAGCACATACAAAACGACCCTTGGACATTAGCTTTGCGAGCTTCCCCTTAGGGTGTAAACATATCTTGGGCAAGAGAAGTATTTATTCGTGGGATTTTTTTTCTTATGGCACCAAACACCAGGAAAGGATCTAGGAAGTGAAAAAAAATTCTCTTTCAGCTTGACTCTGAATTCTAGCTAGCATGGTGTTTGAAGACATTTCGCTTGGTAACATGAAGGCACCTCTATCTAACGGAGGGACGCTATGGGCATTATTAGAGAGGGAGCGAGAGACAGGGTGAGTCACTGTGGGGGCAGGATTTCTATTTCATCCTAGCACCAGGCAATGAATGATTACAGCACATTAATTTCACTGTCAGAACAAGGGTCATGCACCAATAGATATGCTCAGAGAGACCATGGCCCAGCATGACATAGGAGCAGAAAGCTCCCCCGTCAGAGTCCTAAGACACAAATTTTGGTTCTTATGCCATTCTGTATTGTACCACTTTAAAAAAGGAACTTTATCACCTTTAGCCTCAGTTTTCTGGGGATAATAAGCTTCCTGATCGTATTATGCAGAATTGTTGAATGATGAGACATGAAAATGTTTTATACTGGATCTGTGAAGGTGGAGGTAGTGCAGGCTGTCCTTGAACTCTTGATCTTACTGCCTCAGCTTTGTGGGTGCTGTAGCACAAACCTAGTTTTGCTTTAAGCATGTAATACATGTTAAAGGAGCTGGACCTGAAAGCACAGGCCCACAATCCTAGCTATTTAGGAGGCTAAGCTAGAAGGGTAGCAGTTTCTGCCTGGGCTACAGAGTGAGTTGAAAGTCATTCTAAGCAACTTAAGGAGCTCCTGTCTGGAAAAGAAAAAAATAAGAGTAAGAAGAGGGGCTGGGAATGTAACTAAATGGTAGAGCACTTGCAGAGCATAGGTAAAGCCCTGGTTCAGTCCCCAACATTGAACAAGTCAAATAAATGGAATCCATTACCTTTGTTACAAAGTCTCTACTTTCTATGGAAACATCTTCTAACTTCTGGCTTGAGAAATAACTTGCCGCAAAGGCCAGGTGTATTTTTGGGGCTGGTTCCTGAACCAACATGTGAACAGCCATAGAGATTGAGAGTGTAATGAAGAAGAGAAGGCAAGCTTTAGCCCAGAGGAATCTGCAAACTTCAGCGTGTATCAGAATCCCTGGGCAAGCTGGGCGCCACTTGTAGTTTCTGTCACCGAAGGTCTCTGCATGGAGCCTGAGCGGGCCCAACACATTCCCAGGTGATGCTCAGACTGCCAGTCTGGGTACCACTTTCGGAGAACTAGGACAAACAGGAAGAATCTTCCTTCTGGAACAGCGGCAGACAGTGTGAAGATCTCTGTGGGTATGGAGGTTTGGAAATAATATTGAGGGAGGAAGAAAGATAGAAACAGAGATGATGAGCAGATCGGGCAGAACAAAGGAAAAAAAGTCTCACTCCATCACAAATGCAAGTCGGGGGGAAGTTGCTAGGTGATGGATGAGGAAAGAGAAGTGAGTTTCTACTGTAGGAAAAACCAGGTGAGAGGCAGGAGCATAGGGTTGGAAATCTGCACGTTCCAGGAGGCAGAGGAGGCGGGGAATCTCTCCTCAAGGAGCGGGGAGCGGTGTGGTTGGTCCTGGTGGGGTGGGGGGTGGGGTGGGAATGGGCTAGGGGGAGAGGTTCCTCGTCGAGGAAGGGGGCAGCTGAGACTTGGCAGAGAGGGGTAATTTCAGGGCTGTGTGGTTTGGCTTGGGAGCGCAGTGCAATAGAATTGGGAGAAAGGGGGTGGAATTTAGATGTGCGACCTGCCCCGTAGCTTTCTCGCTCTCTGCATTTATCACATCACATCACACCCAGCAAGACAGGCCCCCTCCTCCTGGCTCATTAGGAGATTTGATTCGGCTTGGCTCCTGCTGTCAGCAGCTGTCTGGGGCAAGATCTTTATGCTCCCTGCTCCCCAGCGCAGCCACCAGCCTCCTGCCTCCTAGGCAGCAGCGGAGCTCATTAGAAAGGCACCCTTCCCCGGATTTTCAGCTACTTGGTGGCCTGAAAAGAGTTAATACCTACTCTTGGCTGGGGGGCAGAGCAGCTGCTGTGGGCTGGGGAGAGACTTCTCCCTGAGCTGCAGCCAAAGGAGCTGCAGGTTAGTGAGGCCGAAGGAGGAAGGTGCAGGATGCTTGCCAGGTCAGCTCTGCTTGGGGCCATCTCCTGTGTCCTGCCAATAAGGATGGGCGTGCAGACTGTGCCCAGGAGCTGAGCCGCCGCCTGCTGGGTGTAGGCTGCTTCAGTATTTAGTGGATGTGACAAGCAGAGAGGAGAGCTTTGGGGGCCGCTTGCTGCCTGGCTCAAGTGGTGGGAGGTGTGTTGTGCATGCATGCTTATGTATATGTGTATGCATGCGTGAACCTATGCGTCCCTGCAAACATGCCTTTCACCTGCCAAGGATTTCACGGCTAAAAGAGAGATCTACTCTTTCCTCAGAGCGCCTTAACCCGCAGCCTCTCTGACCATCCACTTGGCAAAGACCCGCAGGCCATGAGGACCGGTCAACGGCAGTAAGTATTGGCGCTGCCTTTCTCCTTCCTCGCTGGGGTGTCGGAAAGCTGGTCGTATTATACATATTTAATTAACCTGCCTCTTCATGCATATTGATTGTTTTCTCCCCGCTGAGCTTAATTTCTCTCCTCTTTATAAATCTTTTTTTTTTTGCACTTATTACCCCCCCCCCCATCCCCATCTTGAATGTCATCTTTTTCTACCCTGTCGGCTCCAGTCACTTGTGACTTGGTGCCCACTTCCAAGGATACTATGGAGGGGGATCGCGTCTCACTGTTGAACTTTCCAGGCTCTGGGTGACCCTTATCTGTCCCTTATAAGTCTGTCTAAAGCTAAATGAGACAAGAGCCCTGAGGGTTCTGGATCCTGGAGCAGACAAGGCAGCTGGGGCAGAGTACCCTGTGAGTTTTCATTTAGGGAACCAAAAGCTGACCTCACTCAAGGGGTGATTTTGGAGGTGCTGGGGTGGGGGAGAGGAGACAACTGGATAGCATCAGCAAGCCAGCGTGGGGTGGCCACAGGAAAGGGAGGGAAGAGCCACAAGCAGGGGCAGAACCCAGGGGTCCCCTGCCCTAAACGACCTTGCCTGTGATGTATAAGGGGAGTGAGCTCTGGCCTGCTCAGCTGCAGAATAATAAAGGCCCCTGGCAAGATCTTCTCCCTACCCTGGGGACAGGTTTTTATAAGCAGGAGGAAATGAGGCGTAGGTGCCCAGACACGCTTTCTGGAGACCCTGAGAGCTGGAAAGGGCCTTGCCGGCTGACTTCTGAAAAGCAGGTGCTCACCCACTTAGGGCAGTGATTAAGGAGATGTCCCCTGTTGTCAGGGAACATGACCCACTGGGATGAGCCTTTGCATAAAAACCCGATTCCCCGCCCCCCGTTTTCTGTTTTCTTTTCAGTGTTAATAAAGTCATCTTTCTATTTTGTTAATGGTAGAATTATTCTGCAAGCGATTTTAAGAAAGTGTTTGTGAAATGTTCAGGGTAATACCAAGACAATTTAAATGGCGCAGTCACACAGGAGTCTTATCTATCTAAATTAGGTTCCTTTTTTTAAAATGGATCCTACGTTTGGTGGCAGGGTTCCCCAAGGGAACCTTTTATGGATAGGTAGGCAGCTCTTCCTATCAGCACTCTTTTGTGGGAACAATGGTCTGAAACCCTGCCAGTGACACTCATGGGAAGGAGAGGCTCCAAGCCAATCAGCCTTCAGCCTCCACATCTCCTTCCTTCATCCCCAAGTCTTCCCTGCCAAGAATGGGCCAGGCCGAGGAAGGTTCACCTCCTTATGAGCTAGGAAGAGTGACTTGCGTATTCATCGCTGTACCCCGTGTTTGGGATCCCTGCCCAGGAGCATGCCCAGTGGTGAGAGTGTCTGGTGGCTCACCTCCAAGTCCCTTCAGCCCCCCTCCTTGCTCCCTTTTCCTCCAGCCCTGGCTCATTTCCACCTGGGACAGGTGCCCTTGGAGGGAGGTGGGAGTCAGAGCAGCATCCAATCAGATTATTTTGGAGCAAGTGTTGGCCTCTCTCCCGTGGTCCCTTCTGGACTGGTCACTTGGGCATCAGTCTAGTAAGATAAAGAGAACAGTAATTTTTGGCTTGCCAGGCCCATGCCTCCCTAAGGGTGCATGTCCCAATTCTGACGGCCGGTGGTTGGGGAAGTAGGAATTCCTGACCAGCAGCCATCAATGGGAAGCCTCCTGCTATTTGTTTCCTCCCATCTTTGATTGGCTACCCTTGCTGAGAACAAGCCGACATTTGTGGGTGCTGTGGGGAAGTACTCTGACTGTGGAGAGCCAGTGGAATGGTGTATCTTACAGACAGATGTGAGAGGGTGAACCCTCTTACAGCAGACTCTTTGATTTTAGGTGAGAGGACGTGAGAGGGTAAATCCTTGAACCCCGCAGTCTTATTTCCTGCTCTGACGTCCCTGCAAACCAGCCCAAGGGGGTAACCGTAAGCGGATGCCTGTATGGCTGCCTTGCTGATGCCACGCAGGTAATGGATTAATGACCTGTCTTCTTGTCCTGCCCCTCTCTTCTTTGCCACCTTCTGGTCTCTCACCTGTCGTGCTGTTTGAGCCTGGCCCAACTGTTAAGCTCTGGGTGTCCTCTTTGCTAGTTCTCCTGGACCTCCACTGCACAGGGCAGTAGTCTTGCCTTTGCGCTTCTTGCAAAGTGAGAGCCTTGCAAGTATGATCTGCCTTAGCTCCGTGCCCTCTTGTTGACTTGGTAGAATCAAACTCTGTGAGTTATTGGGACAGGGGTTTATAGAGAAAAGGCAGGTGAGAAAATGATCCTCCCCCTTTTCTCTTTCCCCTTTCTTCCTTTCCTCCCTCCCTCCTTCCTTTCCTTTCCTTCCTTCTTCTCTTCCTCCGTCCCTCAGTTCCAGCTCTTAGCTTTCACTCCTGCGTCTGCTCCTATCATTTCCCACTAAGCAGATTATAACTCAAGTCTTGACTAGAAAGATAGAAAACCATTTTGTTCCAAAGTAAATTTGCTTTTGTGAACTATTTGAATGGCTCAGAGTTGTCTTGAGGGCAGGCAGTACCCTTTAAACTAGCCTGTGCCAAACCTTGGCATACAAAAGCTTATGTGGATTTGCCACTTTCCAAGAGTCCTGTGTGTGGCTCTTGAGGGCAGTGGCTCGACTGTTTTTATGACTGATGATCTTAAGGCACCGAGTGGGCTGCAGGCTGGGGCCTGACCTGAGGTGCAGCCTGAGCAGGACCTTTGCCTGAATCCACAGTAGTGATGATTCAAAGGGCTTTTGATCAGTTGCTTGAATGGCCTGGTGCTGGGTACCCTGTGATTTGGAAGAGTGAAAGGACACATAAGAGCTCTGTTTCAGGAGAGAGAATGAGTGTAGCAACTGTCTTGAAAATGCCACGAGATAGATGGAGGCACAGTGCAACCTGCCAGGGAAGAGAGGTATGGGCAACGTGGTTTCCTGCAGGAGAGGGTATTTCTGGAACCTTGGATGCTCCAGCTCTCAGGGGCTCTGTGGAGATGTGCTGTGGAATACAAATGTCCATCCCTGCCCAGCACAATACCATCTCCCTAGACAAATGCCAGATAAGATTTCTGTGAACAAAGACAATGAGCAGGCCGGGCAGTGGAAATCCATTTGAAGGCAAGGGCAGTGATTGAATTGGATGGCCTCTGACTCCCGTATCTAGTTTCAGGGTTTGTGAAAAAGAGGGACTGGAAGCAAGGCCAGGACTTGCTGTCAGCTTGTGAGAATGGCATGTCTTAGGACTATTCCATGACAATATCTACCGTGGCACGCATGGCAATTCCTCTTGTAAGCCAGATTGAGGCCCTGGTCTGATTATTCCTTTTTTCCCCCTCCACTTACTTTTGCCCTTAATGTGAGGAAGGTCATGGTTAAAGGTCAAAGGTTAGCAAATTTCCGTTGCATTGAGCCAAAGAGTAAATATTTTCAGCTTTGTAAGCTGTGTGATCAATGTTGCAACTGCCTAAACCTTGCCCTTGAAGTTGAAGGCGTCTTTAGACGGTATGTAAACAAATGGGGTGTTGTGTTCCTCTGAAGCTGTGTACACAGGTACCTCAGGGGACTGTAGTGTGCCAGCCCCCGGCTGAGGGTAAACAGGACAAGTGAAGCAAGCACAAGAACTGTGTCCCCTGTTGACATTGTCTGTCACCCTTCAATCCCCGTGGTCCATAGCCACCCATGCACACATAGCCTGTCTTGGTGAGGTGAGCCGAGAGAAGCCGATTGGGAATGGACTTTCCTTGAACCCCCACACTGTATGTTTGGACTCGCTCTGCTGTGCCCCCCCCCTGCCTTTTGAGATTCCCCTCTCTTCTGTGTGAAGGCCCCGCTTTCATGGCCCTGTAGTTTGGGGTTGCTGCCCCACCCCTTTGGCCTTCTATTGGGAAAGCAAAATTGCGGATTGCTATCCTGTCACTGCTGTGTTTTCACTCCCTACAGAGAATCCTAAGTTAGAAATTCTCCCAACTAATGACCTCCATTGACTTACCATCAACTTGCCATGTCAGTTTCCAAAGGCCTTCAGCCTCTCCGGGAAGGGCAGAGGAAGGGCCCCGCACCTATTATTACTATGCCTATAGTGACACCAAGGCATGAGCACAGCCCTTGCCTCTAGTCCAGCTGATGGACTCTTCAGGGGCCACCTGGGGTGGGGAGGGCGGCGGGTCCAGATGTCTTTTATAGACCTGGCAGTTGTGATCATGACAGCCTCCTTCTTTCTGCCTCTGTATCTGCTGCAGGAACAAAGGTATGAGGACTCGACTGGGGTGCCTGTCACACAAATCGGACTCTTGTAGCGACTTCACGGCCATTCTTCCCGACAAACCCAACCGTGCGCTCAAGTGAGTGGTGTGGCTGCCTTGCGTTCCTGGGTACCCACACTGCGGGATGTCTCTGGGACCTTTTGTCTTTAGTGAGTTTTTGAGCAGATCAACCACAAGACGATACGCTCTGGTCTCTTGGCAGCTCCTTTCCTACCCCTGCACGTGAGTGACAGGAAGGCATAGCTCGGTGACATCAGGTGGGAGCCCTCATCCTCCTGAGAAACATTTATCGCCATCAGTATCCAAAGCGCTGGGTGGGGAAGTACAGTTCTTTATTCTACTTACTTGCCCATCTACGCTCTCAATTTGGAAATAAACATCCAAAGTTAATCTAAAAATACGCTTAGATTCAGACTGCCCACATTCTGCACCTAGTCTGTGCAGACACTGTATTCAATGATGTCACAAATGTCACCTTGTTTCAACCTCACTCACCTCGGAAAGGGGCATCGTTGTCTCCATTCCAAGGGGTGACGAATTTGAGGTGACAGCAAGAGGTAAGCTGAGCCTCTTTTATCTCCGAGACTAGCCCCGCCCCCACCCCATCACCCTGACATCTCAAAATTACATAGCTCTATGTACTTTTATTGTTCAGACCAAGAGTAATATACAGGGTTCTCTGAACTCCCATCCAGGGCGATTCTTTTCTCTGTTATTGGGGGGACAAAACCCAGAACCTCATTCGTGCTAGGTATAACTTTGCCACTCTGCTATAGACCTCCCCCCCGCCCCCCCCCCCACTTAGAGATTTCCCCAGCTATTACTTGGAAAGTACCCATTTACAGCAGAATCGCAGAGACGCAGGTATGACATGTATTCTCTCTCCGCCAATCTGAGGAGTCCTGGGCAAATCTGAGGGGTGGCTGGGGGAGAGGAGATGTCAGAAATACTCAGAGAGATGCTGTTGCTTCCTAGGAGACTCTCCACAGAAGAAGCGACGAGGTGGGCAGATTCCTTCGATGTCCTCCTCTCTCATAAGTGTAAGTAGAAATCAGGCCACATCATGCCGGAGCAAATCATCCATGTGGCAAAATATGCAGCGAACACCTCCTGGGCTCAGGACACTCTGCTGAGACCCCAGCCCTCTAGAGTCCAGTACACAGCAGGAGGAGCAAAGAGACAAGCAAACAGGCATTTTTAATGTAGTGGGGTTAGACTGTATTAAAAAACCATAGCGACCCAAGGCTCTTAATCATTATTTTATATTCCATTCCATTATATTATATTTTTTATTTATCAGATCTGTGCTCTCACTGTTGACCCGTCTTCGTTATTAGATATTTCGGTAGGCATGGTGGAGGGCCGGGAAGGTAACTCAGTGGTTGAATACTTTCCTATTGTCTGTGAGGCTCTGGGTTCAACCCTCTTCAATCCTGTTTCTGAGCTGGGGTTTTTTTATAACTTAGGCTGGCTTCAAACATGTTATAGAGCCAAGGATGGGCTTGAACTCGGGCTTCTCCTGCTTTCACCCACCACCATCCAAACACTGGGCTTACAGGTATGTCTCACTGTGACTGGCCAACCAGCAATGTTAAGGAGACAGAAGTCAGCTTAGGTAATGGGAGTTATGGACCGACCTGAATGAGAAGAACCAGGCTAGATCTCACACAGGGGAATTGACTCTCTTCCTCCAAGTCACTGGGCTACTTAGTCGAGTGAGTATTCTGTGTATTTTAGCAATCCCTCGGATTGACAGAATTTCACTCTTTATCCAAGGGATGACGATCTCAGCTGTATTGTGCCCCCACTTCCTGGCTAGAATACGGCTTTGCCCTCCCTCCTCCTCGTCTACTTCCTCTCTGTTCAGCTGTTGTGTCTTTTGTTTCCTGCAAAGGCAGGAAGAGTTGTGCATATTGCAGTGTTTAGAGGGCAGTTTATCATTACTCAACGCTTCAGCTCTTTTTTTTCTCATCATGAGCAAGTCCAAATTTGTTGGGCTTTGAAATCCCTGCGGCATTAAGCGCATGGAAGTGGCAGGGCAGGGGCGGGAAGCAGAGAGGAGGTGTTCTGAGGAGACAGGAAGGCTGCAGACAGACATTCGGTGTTCCTCCTCAATTCGTCACGTCAGTGGGAGATCTGGGAGCAGAAGGGCTGCTTGCATTTTGCTGTGTTACTCCTATTTAATCAGGGGGATGTGTTTCTGGACAATTAAGTTGAAGGCTGTGGGTGGGATTCAGATCTGGGCTTTCACTGTCGACCCGTCTTGGTTACTAGATACTTGGGCAGTCATGGTGGAGTCCCTTGGTTTTCAGCAGATGCCATTAAATCTGATTTTACTCGTCCAGGTTTGGGAAGGTGGCTCGGGGGCTCAGTACTTGCCTAGCATGTGGGAGGCTCCAGGTTCAATCCTCAGCTTTGTGTCATCGTCATCTTCATCATCACCATCATCCAAAAACAAGAAGTGATTTGGCTTTTAATTTGATGACATTGCTTCCTCTGACTTTGCCTCTTGTTGTTAATAAACAAATCAACAAATACTTCATGCATGGAGGGGTATATGCAAGTATGCATTTGTGTGTGCATGAACCTGTGTGCACAGGTGTGTGTGTGTGCACATTTGTGCATGTGTGGGGAGGCCAGAGGTGGCTGTCAGGTATCATCTTCTACCATTTTCTACTTTATTTATAACATCTATCTATCTATCTATCTATCTATCTATCTATCTATCTATCTATCTATCTATCATCTATCTATCTATCTATCTATCTATCATCTACCTACCTATCTATTATCTATCTGTCTGTCTGTCTATCTATCTAGTGTATGGGAGGGTATGGGCTCATGCATGCCTCAGTGTACCTGGTGAGGTCAGCAGATAACTTCCAAAAGTTGGTTCTCTGCTTCTACTGGGAGGTTCTTGAAGGTTAAATTCAAGTGTCAGGCTTGGTTGCAAATGCCCTTCCCTGCTGAGCCATTTTGTCAGCTATCCACCTTATTTTATTGAGATGGTCTTTCAATAAACCCAGGGCCTACCAATGAGGCCGGGCTAGCTGGTCAGGGAGATCTAGGAACCTTCCGGTCTCTCCTTTCCAGGAGCATACACATCGCACTCATCTTTCTATGTGGCTGCTGGGGATCCAAATCCAGGTCCTCATGGTGGCACCACAAGCGTTTTGCCAACTGAGCCATCTCTCCAGCTAAACAAATTCTTTTGAATAGATTTTAAAATAAACTGCAATATCTAAGAATAAGTGCATACTATAAAAAAATTGTGACTTTGGTATTCCATGGAATCTACTTAGGCAGGAAAATAATTCAGTGTGGGGATACAGCATATGTAGCAAACCATCATGCCCCAATAGCAAGCTCGCATAGTGAATTTGCCAAGGTAGTGACATATATACGATTTTTAGAATTGGATGGTAATGCTTTCCTAAAAACCAGGTTATTGATTATTTTTTGGGAGTCATATTCTGCCGAACAAGTGTCGCTGTCACTTTTTATCTTCTGGCTGGCTTTGATTCAAGGTCATCCTAAAGTTTGGTTTCTATTTCAGCCTCACATTGATTCACTCAGTTCAAATCCCTGAGGCGGTTTCCTCATTCTAAAATGGGGTTAGAGATGCCTGCTTGTTCGCTACCTCTGGCAGATAGGAAACTAACCAAGTGGACACAGCCAGCACTCTGGGCTCTTTCCTTAAGATGCAGTGTAACGATACCGTGGGCTCTTTTTTTTTTTTCTTTAATGATACACTTATCTATTAAATGCAAAAATGAATACCTTGACAGTGAATTTTGTATCCAGTTGTTAACATTAAGTCAGTGTGAGATCTAGAGATTCAGTTTTGTCTGCTTCATTCTGTGACTCTTGGATCTGCAGCCGTTTGGTCCTCCTGTCACGGAAGCGGTTCCCAGAAAGCTGTAACATTTCCCCAAGATGGGAATCCCGATAACGGGTCACAGCTGGCGCCAATTTGCTAATTTGTCAAAGTACTACCAAAACCAAAACCAAACAAAAAAAAACCCAAAAAACAAAAAAACCAACCAAACAAACAAAGAAAAAACTCAGGCTTTTTGAACTCTGAAGTTCTCTAATCCTTCTTGGAGTCTGAGGTTCTGCTTTTATTTCTATTTAATATAGAAATAAAAAACCTGTGGCATGAGAGTTCTTAGGAAGAAAAGGGTATTTAGGGTCACTGGTAGAGGAACTTGAAGCTCTTAGGATTTGGGTATCTATTTCCCTGTGAGGGCTGCAAAGCAATCTGAACCCAGGCCACCTTAAAAGATGCTGACAATGTTCTAAGAGTCTAATTAAGTTGGGTTGGTACCGCGAGTCAGTCAGGCCTGATTAAACTTCTCCAGTGGGATTTCACATGTGCCTGTCCTTGACAGCACTAATGGAATTGTGTGCAGAGCTTCTGATTAAGACACGTGCTACCCCAAGGAGTAAAGAGTGCAGAGTTCCTGAATGACTGGGACCCAGAACCGTGGGTGTTAGTCTAGAACCCGCTCTTCTGTTGTTCTTCACACTGAGGTCTCTGTCCTTCCCAGCTTTTTTTCATTTCGTGGGATCAGGTAATTATTTTTTTCCCTCATTCTTGACCTCTGGAGCATCTTTGCTGCCCTTGATCTGCTGCTGCTCTGCACGCTTATTTAATCATTTCTCAAAGATGTGCTTATTCACTATGCCCAGATTCTGTGCAGCTGTGGGGGCGGGGGGAGCACAGGCGAAAGACGCCGTGGTCTGTCTCTGGTGGAGAATGAAGGTCTCTGAGAAGTCAGGTGAGCTCACAGATAAGGCAAGGAGAAAACTAGTGTTCTTATCACACAGCAGACGGGCTTGGAATTGCAAACGGAATGCTGACTTTCCCTGCCGGTCTCTGCAGTGTCAGAAGTCCTATTGGTCGGGCAGGACGGTTTCCAGCAGTCATGGAGCAGGCTTGTGGATGCTGAAGTGTAGATATTAGCTGGTAGTCAGATCTATGGGCCTGATTTTGTTCCCGGTTTACTCTTGGATGCTTAGGTGACCTTCACGGGAACCTTGGCTATTTAGGAAATCAGAGTCCTCACTTGTCCAACAAAGGAGCTGGAGCAGGAGGTGACAGAGGCTGGATTTAGTTCTACCTTTGTCCCTGAGTGCTCTCCGGAGCAGATGTGAGGCTAGGTGATAGCCAATCACCTGTGGCAGGTGGTTTGCCTAGGCACTGCCAGGAGGGTTGTGTCAGAGAGCTTTTCAGCTGACATGGCTCCAGCAGCCAGAAGGGGGACCAAAGCACCTGTCTTTTTTCTTTCGAGCACTACATGGGCTCAAATCTCAGGCAAAAGAAGGCAACTTTGCTATCTTCAAAACCCTAGAATTAAAAAAAAAAGATGTGGTGGAAAATATTTAGAGTTGTCGTTATTTCCCATTGTATTTGTTTACAGATGAGCGCAGAGGAAAAGCTCTCAGGCAGGCCTGAGAGCTAATCACTTGCTAAGTGCTTTTCTTAGACGCTAACAAACGCAACTGAAATTGACACGGCTGATGGCTTCATTAGCGAGAAGGATGTCTAATAGGTGCTCATTTGGAAGCTTTTCCCTGTTCATCCAATTACAATTAGACTCGATATCTGAATCGCGAATGTAGTCTGCCCTGAAGGGGGATGTGAGCACGCGCGTGTGTGTGTGTGTGTGTGTGTGTGTGTGTGTGNCCTATCATCTATCTATCTATCTATCTATCTATCTATCTATCTATCTATCTATCTTTCTTCTTCTTCTTCTTCTTCTTCTTCTTCTTCATCATCATCATTATCTATCTATCTATCTATCTATCTATCTATCTATCATCTACCTATTATCTATCTATCTATCTATCTATCTATCTATCTATCTATCTTCTACCTACCTACCTACCTATCTATTATCTATCTGTCTGTCTGTCTATCTATCTAGTGTATGGGAGGGTATGGGCTCATGCATGCCTCAGTGTACCTGGTGAGGTCAGCAGATAACTTCCAAAAGTTGGTTCTCTGCTTCTACTGGGAGGTTCTTGAAGGTTAAAT